TAAACTTCTTGGAGAAACGACAGCGCACCAAGGCATAATCAGAGTCAACACAGGTACTCCAGTACGAGCGGCAATACAGGATGGAACCACGCCATCTGTAACTTTTGGCTATGTGGTCAATTTGGGTCCATCGCTGGCCAGCTACAGGAGGACGCCAATTCGCACTTTGGTATCCACTGTGTTTAAAAGCAGTGTTACTAAGAAACAACTGGTGCTCCCTTCACATTTGCAGCAGACGCTCGCCGTTGTCAGTCCGTTCGGAGCTAAGCCCACAGTTACCACCCAGCTGAGCTTCCGAAGAGTTCAGACGCCCTGCTTGTGCGTTCATATCCTCTGCAAGTACTATAATATCTGAACTAGTAGCACTGCGTATTAGCGCGTTCAATTCGTGATAGAATGTGTTCTTGACAGCATTAGAACTGCAGTCGGTGGGAGCATAAACGGAAATCCCAAACAAACAGCGTTTTGTACTACTTCATGAACCCACCTTAGCTGATGTCGTGAAACGGGCTGCACATAAACGGCTGTTCACCGGAATCCAATCAACCAACGATGGCTCAGCCTTGGAGCTTAGAATGATACCTACACCAGCTTGACCCGTGAGTGCCGCATCGGCGTCTCCGGATGCGTGCAACCAATAAGGAGAGGATAAGCCGGGTGCAGTTAATTCAATAACCCCGTTAGGGTCATTAATCCTAGTTTCGGACACACAACACACATCGATACCCAGTGTGTCCAAGGTGCGTGCGAGTGCAGCTTGTTGATCCGTTTGTCCTAGAGTGCGAACGTTGTATGTCGCCATGGAAACGGGATAGCGTGGCTTTATGATGGACTATTGCCGATAGATGCTGTGGAATGGTGGCTGCAGATGGTTCTACTCCAGTGGCACTTCGGAAGGTGAGTAATGGGGGTCGGGATGGGAGTAAGAGAAAAAGGTCGAAAAGAAAGGAGGCGCCAGCAGTAGCTTGTTTTCGCTTACCCGCCCTGTTGTATACAGCAGATAAGGCGACCCTTGATAATCTGCGCGACGGCCGATGCAGGATGAAGCTTTTGTTTGAAGAGGATATCATAGTTGTATGTGGGCTGAGATACTGTCAGGGCGCCCAGACCTAGACAGGAGGACGATCAGGGTCATCATCCAAAGCCTTTGGCTCAAAGCTTGTCCACAAGGCAGCGCGGAGGTGGCAATGATGTAGTTTTACAGAAAAGGACGCCATCCCATCTGAAACCCCCAACCTGGAGGACCAGGAGACTGTGTTTGTCTGACCTCTTACTATTGACCAACCTGGTAGGAGTAGCTCTCAAGGTGTCCCGACGTGTCACCCAGTCAATGAGGTACGCAAACCGTCGCACTACGTTAAGATCCAGTCTCGTTGCGACGGCATTTTTACACCGTGGTTTTCAGTAGGTACTTCCTACGGCGTTTCGCTCGGAGATACTGCTAACTCGTATATGGTATGATGACAGCTAGTGGAAAATGAGTATTGTCCGTACGAAAACGCTATTCACTACGATGCGTTTCAAATTTATCAAACCGGTCTCGGTTCGGCAAATCACGTATATTAGCAGCTGGATATGTCCCGGAATTATGGCTAAGAGTGTTCCTCCCAAAAGTCACAGCGCGATCACTTTTTATATGGCCTACAAGGAAGGCATCCTCGCAGTCACATACTGACTTGTTTTGAACGTCAGTACGGCCGCTTAACACATAGCTTACCGACTAGTGACCGTGAATAAGCCATATGGGACCCCGGAATGAATACATTTGTGCATTCTGAAATAGAAATTTGTGTACAGCAGTCTGAGCTTTACGTTTATCACACCATAACCTGATTGAGTTTGCAAGCCTAAGCTCGTGAACACGGCCACACATGTGTCAGCGTTATCCATGCGTCGTAATTCGGTCACTGATATGAGGTCGCACACTACCGTGGCACGATAGTGTGTGCCTCCCCTACCCAGTGAGTCATGTTGGATGGGGCTTCACAAGTATCGTTACAGCCAATCATACCGGATAGGCCAACGGTTATGGGTTACGTAATCTCATCGTGCGCGATCGTATGTATCCCTGGTCAGCACTATGACTGCGAATAAGGTGCTGAGATATTACGTCTCGAGAGCAGTTACAAAATCCTGAGATGTGAGCAGGCAACACACCAAATGTGAAACGGTTCAGGGACTGACAGTAGTTTGCACCTACTAATATGTCCGCAATTGCACGAGTAGCGGCGTGTATAACGCAGACAGATTAAGCCCCTACTGAACGTGGATCGTCGCGCGAGTCTGTAAGCAACAATTGCATAAATACACCGCCGCACTGGGCACGGTATTGGGGTGCCGTCTATTCCAGATTTTCAATAACAATTTAGTGAGCTTTATTATCTCATTGTATGCTTTATGCTGACATCAACGTTTAGTTGCCGATCAAGCTGCAAGGACCTCGAGGAGGTTCCAGAATGGCCAGTCACGATCGTCTACAGCTCAACGTGGCTAAATGTCGGGTACCAAATGCTTCACACTAGTAATCTGGGCGACCATGTTCTGCAGCACTCTTCCCGGAAAAAAATCTCGGAGTACTAATCCAAGAACACCCTAGTTGCTCGGAAATATCTGCGTTACATCGAAAAAGGGAATCCGAAAGTTAAGGCTATCAAAGAGAACTTTCTGTCACTGACCAATCTGTTTTCCCACAGCTGATTTCTGCATACAAACACCAGCACATGGAATATCCAATTCAAGCATCATTTTGGAAATCCCCCGACCTGGGGCACCGAAAACGAACAGCGACTGAGTATTTTTGGAATCTTCAGTGGGCGTTGCCGAAGTTTGCGTGGTTATCTCATCAGAGTTAACCAAAGTTTAAGTAACCCTAATCACTCGTGCCACCAATTGCTAAAACGCAGCCATAAAATAGACTGAGAAGCCACCGTCTCAGACTGGCATTACAATACAGCGAGCTCAAGTGTAGACTTAATTTCTGCTCGCTAGGTGTTTTTCAGTTATGGATTTCACTACCGAAATCGGTTATTTCATTCCCTACATTAACTGCACTTAAAGATCAGTTCCGCAGCGTGCTAGTTACGTTACACCAATGTCGTATCAACCGACACTTGTTTCTCTGGAAAATCAAAAGCGGTGATATTTTAAGTTGCATAAACCATATGTGAACGATTCATCAGACGAACAGAAGTTTGTTCCTCAACTTCACTGTTTTCGGTTGTTCTCTGCTTTTGCTTGTTATTCCTTTTCTTTTGAAACATGTTAAACCTAATCTTTTTATTCGCGATAAATCACTACCTATTAAGCATACTCTTACTCCTCATTCCACGATACCAGCTGATTGTAATCCAATCCTTCTTCAACGAAACAGTGCAAGAGTGTACTTTAGACTGAAGAGGAGTAAAATAGCTGACGGTCTAACATTACATTTGAAAGGAATTTGCAAAGCTGCAAGCAAACATCTACCAGATGCCTTATTCAGTCTTAAAGTTGATGAATATTTCATTCCACTTGGAAGCTGTTAGGTATATCTTGATCAGGTTTGATCTGCGCGATTCGTGTGCGGCCTAACAGTTGGAATATAATTATCTTCCGCCCTACACACAGCCATGACTGCGAAACCGCCACCAATGTGAGATTTAATTGACTAAAGTAAAAAGTTGGGTTGAGCACATTGTAGACATTCCGTTGTGCTGGATATCGTTCGCCTCCTGACGTTGTGGACATAATTACTATGAGATTAAACAGTAGCTTGTACTGCCCATTGCATAGAGCATTTCGGAAATTTATTCGCTCTGGCCATCCGTCTCTACGTGTCCCCTCGACTCAAACTGACATCTCGCTTGATCGCTCAAGCATCCAGTGTGAGACCGTTTTGACTACTCACATCAGGGCTCCCTCAAGGCAAAGGATGTAGCCCCATGTTCTGTCCTGACTTCATATCCCAGGCTTTGGAACCAGTTCGTGAATAAGCACCTGCTTCCACCCCCCTTATGATCCAATGGTGGTGCGCACCTAGATGAGCGGATGGCTGAGATTCGCGTAGCCAGACATCATCCACCCATGATTTCCGTTTGACCACGCGTGTGTCTACTACTTTGCGTGGGTTTAGCTTAAGTGTTGCCAATTTTCATTACACGCTCTCCGACAATGGCTATATGCCCCAGCTGCGTCTATGTTAAACAGCCATGCCAGCATATTGATCGAATGATATTGGCTGATAACGGTTGTTTACTCAGGGCGTTGTGGATGAAAATGTCTTGACTAACTGATTTTAGCTTTTGCGCTAAGGATGCAAGCGATTGCATTAAGGATGCAATCAGTTGAGGAATGATATGGTGATTGATAGCTGCGGTCTATCTATTGACTTCATTCAACCCCTGTCAGTTTTTGTAACAAACCGACTAAAGGACACCATGTGAATCGGTAAGTCTCATGTGATGTCCTCTTGGGTTAGCAGAACACACGACGCTGTTGTGCAAAGGGTGTCCAAGTCTGGGATATGTTCACTTTGTGCTAGGATACTCCACCACTTATGCTTGCGCACCGGGGGAATACCGATTGAGCATTGTGATGATATGCCAACCACCTTTTGGTAGCGATAACCTGGCTTCGATCTGGTGCCTAAAGACTTCATTAGTTCATCGCCTTCATGTGCCTTTCCCGACACTGCGCAGTCTTGGAATGGCCACTGCATGGTATGGTAAGAGGGCAGGAAAAATCGGACTCAGGTACACAACTTGGGTGGGAATTTATCTCCACAGATGAGCCACACACGAGCAGTGAATGCACCACACACGAAACGCTAACGAGGCTTTGTATTTTGTTCCATGCCTTCTTCCGCTCTTTTATAGACCGTACCGTGATTGTCCTGTCTCCTTTCGCTTTCAATTGTGGTCAAAATGATGCTAATTAACACGATCTGTACAACTCTTAGCAGGGGCATATTTAGCACTTCCTTAATTTTGCTATCATCCATGTTCTCTCCCTTTCCACTCCAGTTCCCTCTAGTGTCCCTATCGGTCTGTTGCTTAGAAGGCATCCCCCTTTCGCTGCCTCGGTTTCGAAACCAACTGTGGCTAAGATTTGTCAGAATTTATCCGGAAGCGCACAAGTGAGTTTGCACTTACGTGATTTCTACTCCGCGCGCACTCGATTACTTTATTGTTATTGCGATACTAAGTCACAAATCTTTAGTATTTCAAGTTTGGAACCAACTAGGATTTCATAATTTCCAAAGGTTTCATGGGATACACATCAGGTTTATCTAGGCTTGTGGTAACGTTTCGCCCTTGAAACACGAGCTTCACCAGGCCAGTTGAATTAGTACGTATTTAGCTTGGTTATATTTATAATAAAACAATGATTGGTAGAAGTAAACCGAATCAGTGGATAAATGTGGTTACAGTTTCAAAGGGTCACTCTGGTGGTACAATGAGTATGGAACCTTCCCAATTGATCTGTGTAACTAGTCATTCTCATGTAAGTTACTACTGTTGCTGTTGGCTCTAGTGATGATGATATTTCGACGTTTTCGCTCCAACCTGAGTTCATCCGCCGATTCAGACTAGCCGGGTTAAGAGTCCGCAACGCGTTCGATAACTCCACGCCGTTTACTCTGTTTACGCAGTTAGCCTCCGGGTTGTCGTTCTTACTCCTTTCCTAATGATTTCTACATCCTCCTACTCGATTGTGTGTCCCGAGCGCGCATACATCGCTACCGCCGAATCCTTGTATTGTGGCTCGTTTTTTTGGTGGACGCGAAACGCACCTCGTGTGTTTTGCTCACTTAGTGCGCAGCTCTCACGCTCTTTGGCCTATGTACACTTGTACACAGTCTCTGCAACCAATTTTATGGACGTAATTGGCTAACTTATCTTTCGGAAGTGGATTGTCCAAACACATCAGTGCTGACCATTTTGGAAAACTACTCTTATCTTCTTGTATAATACCCGCCTGAACGCTTCAGAAGTTCCCTCTTTATAAGGGATGCCCATCGTCCCAATCCACTCCGTCGTACATCGTGATGGTGGGTTTAGCGCTGTCTACAAATGACGTTTCACTAACCGCCTCGGATGTCCACTGCCTATAAATTTGTTCATTGGCACTTTAGGCGTACAGAGAGGATGCAGTCGCATCATACACCCGTTTTAGATTATCTGAACTGCAATGGAGTACTTCATCTGTATCTGTTGGTTTTTAGCCGTCCTCCGTTCCTGTGAACTAGCCGCCAATTTTATTCATCTCTATCAAGCCTGTGAATTTGTCACTTTGACCACGGTCCCGTTTTTTAATGTGGCACAGAAATACTCAGGTGGGCCGCACCATTTCTACTTCCATTCTTTTACTCACTGCAATGGTGATCGGAAAGTATTCTGCGAATGCGGTAGCAAAATCGAATGTTGTTATAGCAATTGGATAGTCGTATGCATGTGTTTGGTATTCCACGGACATGTGCGGTGGGAGAGGATTTAAAGTACTGTATGTTGAGGATTTCGACCGGAAGTCACTAATGTCAGAATTCGTACGTAGGCATGTGCTACGGTACTTAGCGCACCCTCGGGATCGAAGTTGGAACCTATATTACAACGGCCAAAATGCAAGTGTCGATGCGTCACCGTCGCAGACTGCACCAGAGTGCGAGGTTGATCGTTTCGGAGAAGGGACATACCATTTATAGGCTTCGATAATTTCTGAGTGCAACCAGGTTTCCGTAACGAATATGAGGTCCCAGGCATGTGACGCTTGACGTAACCGCGGTTCGCTAAGTTTGTTCAGAAGACCTTGTGCAATGGTGAACATGCAGGATAGTCTCTTTTCTATCTAGCAGTGAATGGTGGGATGGGTGTTTTGGATAAAATTTAGTGCTGACCGGTGAAAGGTCGGCAGATAATCGTTATTCTGATGGGGGGGATGACGAACTCATCTCTGTCCGATTCATGGATCCTACCATTACCTCTTTGCTTCTCTCTTCGTATGTAATGTATGGGGTGTGTTTGTCGGTTAGTCTGATTGAAGTTATCCGCACTCTTGTCGGCAAGTTGTCTGAGTAAGTGACTGCTTTCGTGTGTTTGCTTAGCAGATGCTGATTTGTTCCAGAGCTCAGAAAGAAGGCTGCTGCGACCCACACACTATCCCTTCAATACCATTGCTGACATATGTCTAGATTGAAGGACCACTTTCACAATCCTCGGGCCACATCCCTTGTAGTTTGGCGATCGACACAGCCTCGAAATTGATTGCGTTATGACGTTTTTCAGGAAGAGGGTCTCGCGAATGTACCGGCATTGTTCCTGGTCGTGAGTTGTCGCTTCACGCTCATCATGACTTCCAGTCTCGGGTAGGCCGTGTACAAGGATAATCTTGCCTACGGATTCTTTCTGGTTTTCGTCCAACTAGTGTTTCGCCTGTCTGCGCTCGCTCCACAGAATAACCGGATGGAACATGACCCATTTCAGAGGCGAGGTGTCGATAACAGGACAGCTTCTGCTTCATTGGTAGAAATCAACACAACTCGAAATATTGATTCACTGTAGTGCTGCGTGTCAAATTGACCGGTCTAGTTACAACACTTAGTGTCACATATATAGTTTCACTGGTTCACGTCCTTGAGGTGTTTTCCTTTTAAGGAATTTGATTTTGATTCCGGAACGTCGGTGCAGATTACCGCTGGTATACTACGTGCAACTCTGAGTGAGGTCAAACGACCAGCTGGTCTGCATACAGTCGATGGAGGTTGTTTGGATACAGCTTCGTCTCCTTTCTTTACTATGGGTCCAGTGGGAGTGACCGAAGATCTAGATTTTCGGTCACCTTTGGCAGTAACCAAGTCCCAACCACCACTGGTGTCGAAGCCCTTCTGAATTTTCGGAACCGTTTGAAAGGTGGACGAGGCCCTGACCGTGCTCATTGCAGCCGGACTGGTTGTTTCAGACATATTTGAGCAACTGGTGGTATTGGCGTTTAATGCCACAGATAATGCATTTTTAGCGCGCTGCCTAGCGTTCTTTCTCAGTTTTAATACGGAGCCTGGTAGGAATGACTGGGGGCTTACTGTCACGCTCTGTCACGCTTTCTACAAATGAATCGCTTTTGGTGCTCCTCATTTGTTCAAAACTTGCCGCTAGTCTTTCGTACTTCTGCGATGGTTCATGTACAATCTTTACCATTGGGATGACTACACATACTGAACAGAGTCACAGTGAATCTGTTGTACTATTGTGTAGCTTCAGCTGGTTCACTGTGAGCTTGGAACGTTTGCGATGGAACGCCTTGGCAACTGCGACAATGGATTCCAATCCGTACATTTTTATGGCATGAAGGAAGACCACAAACTACTATCGATCTGGATGCGGTAACATAGGCTTTTGATTGGTCGCCACGATCAATGGTATTCCCGTAGTGGCCCGGGTACTTATGGTTTCCTGCCGGTCGCGTGTGCGCTGAATTGTCTGCATGTTCAAGATCGTCAAGTTCTGTGCGTCTGGCCCAGGTGGGGCAGATTTAAGCAGCTAGATCGTTCACTCGACAAACAGAGCGATACGAACACAAAGTGTACGATAGCTACTTTGATGATCGGTCCATAGCTATGGTTGCTGATTCGTCAGATGAAATGTGTAGGTGACTTTCGTTTGAGACCACAAATATTTCTGTGTGGTTCGTAATTCGGAAAATTCCTCGATTATTTTTTGCAGGAATGATGTAAAAATCGCAATGTGAAGATAAAAGGCGATCCACATCCGAAAGATGGAGTGCACTAGGTAGCGCATTAAGAATAGATCCAGACGCAGCGTGCGCTACGCAAGCTGCAGCGGAATGTTCGAAGATGCATGGAACGGTTGGCCGTCAGAACTGTTGCATGTGGTGTTTGCCACAGCTGATAACTCCGCACCTTGGGTTTTTGTAAGCAACCAATGGAGACGTTGGCTTACCAATCAAAGACAAACTGTGCAACGCTGTGTGGCGATTACCGTGGATGTTTGGGCCACAGGCGTGGCATATGCGCACCGAATGTACCAGGAGACCGATCTTCTCTGGCCATCGTTGCTCACGATACATTATTCACACCTGGTTTGTGCCATTCGGTATCAGCTAACTGGCGTTTGGCAACAAACGTGGTACTGTGTAGTCATACTGTCGTACCGGGTATCCCCGCCTTATATCCCATCTGACCGGCGTTTGTTACTACGCCGTTTTAGGTAGAACCCCATAGTGATCACTTGGTAACACTTCAAGACAGCATAGTGAAATTAGTAGAAATGTTGTAATACTCGCTTCGTTCGTTTGTTGCCTGTTGTAACCGCTAGGCACTGCCTATGTTCTCTGCTACTGCTAAGACGTTCGCCTGTCTTCCCAAAGTATGAGGCTCGCGAGTACTAAAGGGTGCGCGCCTTTTGCCTTGATCGACAAACGTGTGCGCTTTGGCCCACTCTCTGAGTGCACACAACCGTCCAACCTAGCCTAGGGAAAATAGAGTACGAATTCGACACACAAGTGCCTATTGGGTACGAGAAGAGTTGATAGTTATAAGACACACCAACCCGTGTTGCGCCGCCTGGCTGATTGGCCCTTGACTGTCTGGCCGCTTGGCCAAGCCCAGCATTACTCGCCTGGGACAATGATGTGCGATTTCATTAGCAAAGTACGTGACAGCTGATGCCGGATTTCATCAGCTTCCGGTTTGGTCATGGCAACGAGTTTGTCAGCCGCTCACACGGGCCGCCTAGTCTCGACTTGTTGAAGTACACCATCGTAGTCGGCCGTTTTGCCTCAGTGACTGAAAACGACGTTGAAATCGTCGTTATCGGATGCCCAATCAGTGGAATGCTTGCACACAAGCACCTGCTGTTAACTCTTCCGTTCGGTCATGACATTTTCACTGTTATTTGTGTTAGCGCATTTTGCCTTTTTCCTTTTTACTCGAATTGTAGCAATTGGACTCAAAATGCATTTACCTGCTCTAAACTAAGTTTGATTGACGCAGCATTCTCCACTTTTTTCACTCATCTCTGTAGCTTTCAGTGAACTCCATCTTCTTCCCCTTGGGGCTTCATGAGGCAGCACCGACTCGTCGTATCACTATGGTGGTCGAGAAGGACGAACAGCTTCGCTGGAACACGTTTTTCACCTTGAACCCTATGGATTTGGGAGCCTTTCTACTACGTTGAACGAGCATTGTTTCTCACGGTGATCACTGGCGCACTAGGCTGGCAGGTAGCTTGCGTTCACTACGCAAGAGGCTGTCTTTTGGTGTGCCTGTAAATTCCTTGGGCTTTCCGATACTTCGTTTTGCCAAACCTTATTGCTTCACCTGTTTTGCTATCACGCTTTATTTGCCGTGCTCGAACTCATTTGTCTGTAATTTTATTTACTTAAGAAAGTATATTCTGTAAACCTTTCGACTTTTCCTCTAGCGGTCCACAAGTAACTCATTCTGCACAATTGCATGAAGTGCCTACATATATGCTTCATGCTGTGGAGGATCGGAGATTGTCATTACAAAATCATGTTCTGTCATTTTACGATCCAGTCATAAACGATACCTATGACGACATGTGAAAATGCAGTCGATATTTTTTCCAGATTCTGTAGTCAACTGCTCTTCTTTTGGTCCCTGCTATTCAGGAAATTTACGCCCTGATGTCAGTCACTAAGTGTGCTTGTAACTGTTCGGGTAACGCGGGTATCGCCCCTGTTCGCTATAAAATCCCACACAAATTGCACACTGATTCACCGGGTCTGACGAAGCCCGTGTCGAGCGCGAAACGTTGCCAAACTACTATACCAACCGATTGTTTCCAAACCTCTCTGAACTCATGACTTTATCAGTTCACATTGCCATCAAACGACTTTGTTGGAAAAACATTTTTGTGGACCCTTTTTGCCTCATCTGGAAAATCATAGGTGCTGCCGTGTGATCTAGATTCATTTAGGACTGAACTCGGTAAAACAGCTACGGAACTATAAAAGCACTATCCAGACTAGGCAGCATCTTGCAAAATGTTCGGAGATGATAGAGGACTCATATTTTCAGAAAAGTTTGAAAATAACCGGTTGGTGTGGTAATTCAGTAACCGTGGGATGACCTCGAACAAAGCCTTCGGCGAACGTAGGTCAATCTTGCAAAATCGCTAGCTGAACGATGAAGTTAGAGATAATTCCCAAGTCGAAGTAGAGCTGTCTAGCCACTTCGTAACCGGAAAACTGATGACTGAACTTGTGGAGACCCCATGCTTCCTAAGATTTCGCGCCAAATACCTTTTACCAATCTCCAGTCCACCATAATGCTGCTGACCATTACACGTGTTATCGGTAACAGCGCACTCTTCGTCAGTGACCACTATTTCCGACTGGATACTTCGAGCGATCGATTTCAGGCGAAAAATCATGTGCCATCGATTTTGCAGCCTTACCAGGTTTCAGGGCTTTACCACTCTGGCATCCGAATATCCTCAGACTATCTGGAAAAATCGAACGAGAAACCAGTTAAGGCTAGATATATATCTGCCACGGTCGTAATCAGATTGGTATGCCTCGCACGTTACCGGAGTTGTGCACTTCATGCGCAAGACCACCGCTACAACACTGTAATTTCGACTTCTGGAACTTCGCACATATGATAGCGGTGTGTTCGAAGACTTGCAACAAACTTTCACCATGTAAACACTCCACTCTAGTCTTCGGCAGATATATAAGCAAGTAATCAGATAATTCGGTGTCTGACTCGCAACTTCTGCATCCCAAGTTCGAATATCTGCTCACGCCCAGCTTTGACCACCTTCATAGTATCCTAATCCACTTACAACCGCCTGCGTTCGTATGGCAGTGAATTAACAGCACAGAATACTAATGTAGCTAGTTTTGTACCAGCCCCGATGTGGAAATACACCTCAGAGCGTCAGTTGGAAAAAGCTGCGTTGAACTCGTTTCCCTCCGTAAGTGCGATGCAACACAAAAACTATCGGTGGTTAATGCATGAGCATCTTGATACAGGGAGTAGAAAATTGCGGAATAAATCTAAACTGGAGCCACTATAAGACTAGATTTAACTCACACGAAGGTTTATGGCTGAATACCATGCGATAAATAGGTCCAAGCGGCGCAGCTGCCGAATAGCTCTTAAAAAGCCGTGTCCATCTCTAATCATATTGTCACCTTTCGTTAATCGTCTCCGTGGTCTCAGCTACTTCTGTTTGCTGATTGGCGACCGTCCAATGAATTTATATTTCGCGGTTGGCATAATGCTTTAATTTTGAACCGAGTTGTTATGCAACCAACTCTTGTAGACACAGGTAACCGAAAACCATGGAATGAAGATGCGTAACAAAAATGGGGAAAACATAAAAGGTTGCTTTTGTGCACGGTGTTCTGTCTACTGATTGCGGTGTTGATCAGTAGAATATGTGTATAAATTCATACCCACTTCACTGAGCCTCATTCCGCGCTATATCTTCAGCGTTTCTAGCCAGCGATGTTCTTGGTTCCCCAGCATTGAAGATGTAAGGTGCCGACAACTACTAAACTGGAGGTCAGCGTTTTGCCACGTCACCATGTGGTACGATGACTAGTACGGCCCTGTGCGAGCGAATAAAGCGCATCCTGGCAGTCGCCCGCTCAGTCGGCGACACGTCTAACGTCGTCGGCATAAACGTGGTGTTCCCACAACGCACGTGCTATCCTTCATGGACAACCGTTGCCAAAGACCAAAGTTCAGCACGTCATTTACATGAATCGCCCATACAACAGTGCACCGTGAACACAGGCATTTAAGACCCTACTCTTGACAGATTGAAACATCACGACGACATCACAGATGCCTTCAATCAGTGAAAGCTGACTATGCTTTTTCAATACGAAAGGAATCTTTCCAATTGTGCCATCAGCAGAAACGCAGCTCCCCAGGTAAGCGCAGCTATCCAAGCTGCGTTCTTCCAAGTCAGCACTGAGGCAGGTGATGTCAATCCTGGAGTAGGGCTGTATTTCGTGGGGGCATGCGGTTTGGAGTTGTCTGTATATTCCGAGGGTCGTCACCGAGCAAGACGATATCATCACCATAATCCAAGTCAGTCTCCCGGTTACCTTAAAGAGGCTGTACGCCAGAAACATCTTCAATCGCAACTTTGAAGAGAAACGGAAACATCGGGCCAGTGACGTTGAAGATTAAAGCGGGCTTACCGTAAGCCCTCGCTCTGTCCGAGACTTTGCCGTATGATGCTCGAAGGATGGCGCGTCACCTCTCAGGTGCTCCATTCTTTTGCAGACAACATCATAAAGCAAGTAAATCGACCGATTCGAACGCAACTCGGATGTCAAAAAAAGCGATAATGGTGGGGTGGCGATAAATGAGACGCTGTTCGTTGTGGTGGAGTTTAAACATTTGGTGCACATACTCTCGAACGCGTGGAAAACTAGCTTCTTCACGGCAGTGTAGTACTCGTATCGGTGTTAATCTATGGAGTAGAAAAGATGTTAACAATTTGGAGCCGACGGATATCACACTGCTTCCTCTGTGGTTCGGGTACGAGCATCGTTATTGAAGATCGGGACGATAATCGACTTGCTCCGTAGGGCACATGACTGTTACCACAAATCCATCGCACACCTGACCAACAACCTTCCTTAATTTGGGATCACCTACAGCATTTCAAAGCTCCGTATCAGATCTACCTTTCGAATACGTCTCTAACGTATAGATTCGTGTCCGCAGATTTACGACTACAATGACGTTACTTACAGTCGAGGCTCACATCTGTCAGCATATAATGCCAAAGGAGTGCTCTCCGGCCATTTTTCTTTGTAGGATGATGCATTATCGCTTCACACTTCATCATTTGCGCGGGTGTATCCTGGGGCTGATTCGTAGAACCAGTGTCTCAACTGGCGTATGCATTGAAAAGGGGGCAGTATAGCGCATTGACGACGTGGATTGGAAAACAGAACCATTAAACAGGCGGCTCTTACCGATGTAGTCCGATCACATAAGCACCAGTGGTTAATGGATCTAACATCTTTTGTTAGCACTTTTTTGCTATTCTATATGTCATTAATCTTGTGTATCGTATCGAGTCCTATTCACATCTGCTGTAAGGCCTAAGGGAATCTAACTCGCAACTTTTCACTTGCATTCCTTCCTTCCAGTGCGCCGTTCAATGGCCGCCCGTTCAGCCCAGTGGTCCAAGGCAAAGTGCACTACCGATTTGCCCTTGCTGCATGAATCCGTTGATCCTGTCGCTCTTCACCGTATGAAACAAGAGTATTGGCGGAAAAAGCACGGTCAACATGTGATGCGTAGATGGCACAAAGTTGTACTCACCATACTTATCGTCATCTTGGCAGCGTCATTCATTCTGATGGCGATACTGCTGATGCAACTGGCCAGCATTGTGCACTCCATGCGGCACTTCTTCGCTCTTGTAGCCCAAGCGAAATCGAATGCCAACGCATCGTTGTCCCAAACGGAAACCTAGAAGAACCGTACTGCGTACTCGCGCCTGTCTGTCATCGTCACGAGCACTCGTGTCCATTTTGTGAGATACGCCCTCACATCCTCATTACCCGTATACAAACAAAGAGTGGTGACATCAGCAAAAAACCTTGATTAATCTGTAAATCGTCGATATCCTCTGACAGTGCGAAAATGACCTTTTCTTTGACATATACACTCAGCCCATTTAAATGGTCTTATTTCTCATTGGTTTACTACTCACCGTGTATCGATCTTTCTATTTCGCATTAAGAAGATAAAACTTCATCTAGCTGTAGAAAGTATGCGCATGTGAGTGTAATCTTTTCATTAGCCTGCTGTTCACATGCAATATGGAAAAATATTGCGATGCGGTTGTGCTTAACGTGTCTACGCTTCATCCGGTTTAGTTGTTCATACCTGATCGATTGCTGCTGGCTATTGTGAAAGTCCATAGCGGCGAAGGTACAGAATATGGAAGCAACTGTCGGGCGAATTAGTGAAACGACTAGTCCCACTGGCCCCTGCTCTTCACGACCAGGCTGTGACTCACATCGGCATGACCGTCATCAGAAGCCAAAAGATACCAGTTAGCTTCACCTAGAGCTAACGCGAGAGCACTGTATGCAAATCCGCTTGCTAGATGTAGACTTGTCGGAACGTCAAGTCCCTACAACCGTCATTGAACTGATAGCGAACGGGTACAATACGTTCCGTGATCGATCGGGCAAACTTCGTTCGCATATAATTGGCTCACCAGAAACAAAACAGAAGACTAGTCCACAAGACTTACTAAGGTACATCACAGTAGACACGCAAGCGGCAGTGAAGATGCTTACCTGGCCACTGAGACAATCGCTAGTGTTTGTCTTGGCAATGATGATAAAACGAGCGATCGGGATAACTTTGTATCGGCGAAAGTTTTAACTTGTTAAAATTTCAATAGACTGAGAGGCCCTGGAACGAAACAGTTACGCGTTCACTGATGTCACTAACGAACGAGGTGGGCGGTTTTCCAAGCGAATTTCGTGTTGAAACGACACCTCTCGCTACATGTGTAACAATAAGACCACGAATTGCGGCTCGACTATCATAAGAATGAAAAGACATCAAGCAACTTTTACCATTTCAGTTTCATTGCTAAAGACGCTACAACATTCGAACGCTTGTAGGACCAAGCGCGCCTGTTCCATAAAGGCGAGTAGGTCTTACTTAGGGTGAACTGACCATAATATCCCATAGGATGGACGCATCAAAGCAACTGATATTGCACACACTGGGATGATGTATGAGGTGAGGTCAATCACTGTCCGTGATCAAAACATGACTAAGTTAACAGAAAATGATTCGGGTTAGCCAAAATATCAGAAAAAGATAGATCATTGGAATTACTACGAAAGTGAAAGACGAATTGAATGGAGGAGAAAACATGACTTCAACTAGGAGTTAGGTTTCTCAGCACAGAGCGGATCCACGTGCCAATCTGACGATGGGGAGAGGAGAGAACAGTAACATTATCGGATATAGTGCACTTGTCAATGCAGAACGCATTAAGGGATCCCGGTGTTAATATCACCAGCGATTCATATAAATAGGCCACCACCTGATCCAGAAACTACGACTGAGTTGTTATTTAAGCGAGATTCACCACACGCAGACCCAGTTAGGCAGCCACCAGTATCTATAGAGAAGCGCCTGACGGGCGTTTCCACTTCCGGGAACTCGTCAGTGGTGAGTGTCTTCATGGCCGGTGAGAGACTTCACACCACGGAGTGCCTACATTCCATGGTGGATATCGGCAGTCTGAGTGACCGATAACCAGTCTCATGGTGCAGTCTACCCAACACTGCCTCGCAGATTACTTCAATACCGAGAACAGCTAGTGTCGCCTGAACTATGTGGACAATGGCATTATAAACAATTTGTGTTTATCACTGTTCTCAAAACGGTGGGTTCAAAATATGGGTCACGTTAGCTGCCGACGTACGTCGTAGTCCAGAAGCTGAACCAAAAAACGACCGCGGATCAGGACCTTACAATGAATGGGCACTCCATCGTGCCCACAAACAACAAAACGGAAGCCTAGTTCACTTGCGGATATTGATGACTATACGTTTGGATCTAAGTGTGACAGGTTCCCTCGGAAGTATACGTATCACCATTCCATTCCGTTTCAGATTTGGAATTGACTCCTTTACTGGCTGCAAGCATATCGATCTACTACAATAGATTAATGTACCAGGCTTCAATGAGCAATTCAACACTGTGTATAGGACATAAACAGATATATGCCAATTCGTCTGCATAAATTATCTTACTGATTTGGCTACGTTCCTTCAGACTTGGTTTCTTTGCTTGGAACAAGTACACGGGTAATTCAGAGCACCGACGACCGAAAGTAAGATGGCTCTGGGAACCTACGATCGAAGGGACTGCATTATGAAGCAGCTGTGGAAAGTGATTCACCTAGTCAACGTGCGCGCACAATCTCTTGGTCTCAGGCAGACCGCCATTATCACCATCAATGACGGGAGACCAGTAATTCGAATTGATGCTTTGCTGCCATTCAGTCAGAATGGCCTGACGAGCCCCAATAGGGCGAAACGCGTCTGGTGCTTCTCCGGACTGGACTGCGCTATGTAGCTTGTGAACTACTGGGATGAATAACTTACAAATATTACAACTAAAATTCTGCTACTCAAGAGTAATATAAAATAAGAATAGTAAAAAAGAGAAGGAATCTAGTGTAAAAGTTAAAAATTTTAAATAAATGTTCGAGGTCAAAGCGACTATACCTTGTCAAAAGTACTCAGTTTGCTATCGTACGAAGATGAATGGTCATCCACGAGATAGTTTCCATGCACTAGTCACTGCCGCAAGTCATAACCAGCACTACAGAAGACTAAAAGTCAGACAATCATCAAACACGCAGTCTAAAAGTGCCACTAGTGCCGGCTGCCAGCCATGTTTGTCTTGAGCGAAGTCCTAGGTAGGATACATGAATTATAAACGAAAAGGCGACCGTTAGTGACTTCATTTCCCTCTGTCTCCCTCAAGTTTTGCGTCATCCAACACCAGGCTTCTAAGCGACAAGCGTACTGTCTTCGAAATCTTGAATGCAGTACCATCAGTCAGCTGCACATCTGCTTTCTATTGCTGAAGCAATATGCATCAGATTAGGCGTCAAATTAGGCCTTTAATTCTGCTATCCCCGGAGAAAAGATCAACGTCTAGAAGTAAAAACCCAGTTTGTACATTTCAACAGTCAAACGAGGGACTTATTAGCTATCTCAGATACAGACCTCGAACGGTTTAAGTCAGACCTGGTCAACATCTCTATTCAGTATCAAAGATTTCGAATAATACACTCCAGATTGCTGACAAAGGCACACACAGAAGCTGTGAGGGAACTTGAACGGAATGAGGATATCATCATCACCAGACGCGACAGAGTCAGGAACCGTTGTCATGGATCGCAAAGAATATCTGCAAAAAATGAAACTAATTCTGGCGGACATCTCCAGATTTATAAAATGTGAGCAAAACAAAACAGCTTACACGGAAACGCAACTGAGGAAATTCTTGAAGTCAATGGTGATTGACGGCTATTTGACTAACAAAAAGCTCAGACCCACTGGGTCCATTATTCAAAGACTATATGGCCTCTCAAAAATACACAAACCGAACACACCTTTGAGGCCGATACTAAATATGAGAAACTCGCTGTATCACAACATCACAAAATGCCTATTATGGATATTGGATCCTGTTAGGAGAAAGACAGACCCCAGCATGTGAGCGACACTTTCCAATTTGATGAACTTGTCAGCAGCACAAACATACTGAACTATCACATGATCTCCCTGGACGTCGTAACTCTGCTTATCAACGTTCCGCTCTTAGAAACCGTAGATTTTCTTTGCTGCTTCATTGACCGACGAAAGATAAGCATGGAGATCCCAACTGGTCAGCTCAAGCAGCCTTGGCTCAGATGCACATACAACGTCCAGTTTCAGTTTATCAATGAATTTTATACAGGCAGATAGATGGAGTAGTAATGGGATCGCCTGTCGAACCACTATTAGCAGGTGTCTACCTAGGGATGCTGGAAAATGAACCGCTGAAAACGCTGATTTTAACCTTCTAGTTTCATCGATGTTACGTAGACGACATTTTCTGCATAGTGGATCGGAAGACCAACTTGCAAAACGTCGTCGAATGTTTCAACAGTGCACATCCCAATGCCTCATTTACAGCTGAAGAAGAAATCAACAACCGTCTGAACATTTTGGATGTAAATCTAAAGAGGAGAGCCGACGGATCAATCCAGTTAGGACAGTACAGAAAGCCATATTGGACGGGGCAGTATATACATTTCCAGAGGTTTGTGTTCCTCGGCCGCAAAAGAACACTGATCCATACGTTGACCGACCGTGCGCACAAGATCTGTAGCGAAGACACGATTGCAGATGAACTGGAACGAATCAAGTACACACTACTTGAGAATGGTTATCCAGAACGCTTTATTGACACGCATGTGAGGTCTTAGGACACGAAGTTAACAATATAAATGGTAGAGAAAAGAAAACGTTTTCCTTGAGATCCTCCTGAAGGGTGACATAGCGGCTGATATCTGTACAAGAAGATTGATGCAATCCTGCAGGAATACCTTCAAGGCAGCTGAAGTCAATGTGATCTATATAAGCGAATCGTTAGTTGTCCCTAGATTCAAAGATACGGTGCCTGATCGTCTTCAATCAAATGTAGTATACCGATTCCCCTGCTCCTGTGGAGCAAGGTGTTGGACGCACGGCCAGACACTCAGAAAATCGAATCAAGGAACACCTACCGAATTCGCTCACCAACCGCAGAGACAGATCTAGTCTAAGCGAAATTACTAACCATCTGATTGCCATTGGACAAAAGCAGTGCCTTCGAAATCCCGTATATAAGGTACCGTCACACTTGACTCATTAGTTTGCAGCACGACTGCTTGCTAATGCTGAAGCAGTAAGCATAAGACTAATGAAGCCTAATCTCTGCATCCAAAGGAAGCTGATTCAAGCATTACAACTTCCATGGTCATTAATCACACGAGAGAAATTTACTGCCACCCATCAACCACATGTGCAGCCAATAATCTGGGTTTGTTTTCTTCTTGGGTTTGACAAACAAATTTTAACCCTATATCTTGGAATATATTTGGAACCGATCGGGAAGTCATCATTCCAGAAAACTTGGTAAACGACCGTTTCAAACGGTGAAACCGCGAATGGCTCATTAGTGTATCGTCATAAATACGTTAACCGGTCGTTTACCAAGTTTTCTGAAATTATAACCCTCCTCGGTGGGTAGATACGTAGAACATACCTCATTAACTGTTACCTGCGGCTCTAAGGAATTAACGTGATTGTCAACGTCTGGTACTCGCTTGCATACCTCATCGTTGCGGATAGACCTAGCCAATTGAAATAGAAATGTAGGTAGCTCGTGTTAGACGAACTGTTCGCTAAACTTGGCAATTTTCCTGAAAACGTCTCGCCAACAATCGAGGTGACATCATCAGTGCGTTTGTGTTCAGCGTAGCATGGCGATGCTTAAGTAGGTGTGAACCGGGTAATCACGGGTGTGCGCTTTAATAGGTCGTCGTCAATGGACGATTGAGCTAGTGACCTTTGAAAATGTGACGACGACCCGTTTGTCTCCGCGGCTGAAAATGTTGCCTGAGCTACTCGTATCGCATCATCTTCCGTTATGTGCATTCGACTGCGGTGATAGTTCTTCACTCATAGATTTGCGTAGATGGCGTCCAATTCAACGTGTCGATTGGTTGAATTGTTCGCGGGGTACCATGCTTCCAAGAATTCTTGCCTGTTTCATATGTCCATGTGTTAGAATCTTAACGTTTTCCAGGTCATAATGATGACCTGCTTCATACTCGTGTATGGAAATTAGTGAATAGGAATCATGCTCTTGTACTCTGTAATTCGTGTGGAAAGTCCTCTTCCAGATGTACTGCTTATCGCATTCGTTGCAGTTTGATTGTTCTTTTTGAATTGTCCTTTGATCTTGAAAGCTACCCTGTCAGAGTATCACTTGGTTCGTTTCCTCCTGTGCGTAGCTATAATAATCGTGCTTCCATTCAGAAATGTTCTTGATGTATGGAAGCACTTACTCGTCTATTTATCTGTTTTGATCACTACTTAGTCGTTCTCCTCTTCAAACTACTGATAAAGTTTCGTTAGTAGCTGTTGTTTTGTAACACGCGGAACAGATAACACTCCTCCTTTCCTAATTTTACTGTGCTGCAGTGTTCCCGCTCTCTTGAATAGAGTTTGGATACAACTTTTATGTGGCTCATCGGGTGGTTATTGTGGTAGCTCAATATTTGATCCGCGTGCGTCTTCCTCCGATATGCCCAAGCTTGAAGTGCTTCGTCGGTATTCTTGTGAACCAAAACATTCGTCTTCCTCGAATTCAATGGTGAACTTGATGCCCTCGAGTGTGTTGCTAATCAAATCCACAAGCAAAGAACCAACACCGTAGTTGAATGCGCTTAAGGGAAGAAGACACCACACGAGCAGCGCAGGCAAGATTTTCAGCGGCGGAGATAAACGGAGGTGGCGCCACAAGTTTGCCAGTAGAGGGTACGCGAAACAGCTGGTGTTCATAAGCGGAGCAATGTTCAAGATGTTGAACCACACAAGACAAGCATATCATCATGTATCGCTGGCTTACCTCCTTTAGCGCGTGCAAGTTGATTGCAGAGTCAAAGCGATACCCTTTGTTCAGTAAATGGGACACAACCAACTCGGTGGCTACGTTACCCGGAGCTCCAGGACCAGCGAATGGACAGCCGCCTAGACCACCGATAGCGGAATCCACCACGCGAATTCCGTGAATGTCGAGCGCCACATCGATGTTGTCTAGTGCTCTACCGTGCGTTTCGTGGCAATGAACAGCAATCGCCTCACGAGGACACACTCCGCCCGAGTGTAGAATGACTGAGAGAAGAGCATTCATGCTGCGCAAAGCAAAAGAGAAGACACACAATACCCGAGTACACCGTGTTGGTGACGTGTGGCATAGCCGTGGCAAGCGTTAGGTATTTTTGAAAACTTAGGGTAGACAGGTAGTTGGGAAACCTCAGAGACCAATCAAGTAGGCCTCTGAATAATGTACGACATACTAATGACCGTCATTAGGATTGTGATACCGCGAAGCAATAATGAAGGATATTAAAAAAGTGCTCTGCAACCTTGAGTACTTATTTCGACTGCATCATTTATGGGCATTATTTACGAGAAGTCTAGTGTCAACAAAGACGCATCTTACACGCACCAAAAAACAGACTCGGTTGCAAAATGTGTCACAAGCAGGAAGCGCAAGCAAGCAGTTGACAACAGAGACACATCGCCACAACCTATGGACATTGGAACAAAGTCACAGGCTCACTTTCTAAATAGTCGTCGGTCACAGTTTGAGCGGGACTAATCATGGGCATAAAATGCTAAAATCGGGAGAAAAGGATAATGATAAGCCAATAACTCGGTGAAGATGTGCGGAGCAATATCTAGGTGTGATGGTAAAGTACTACACTTAGATGCTCGTCGCTATGCGATCGGTCGAGCTTAACGATTTTTGGCCAACAGGCTGAAAACTGGTCGATCGCTGCAGAGGCGAACTGAAGGATAGCATGCAATTGATTTGGATCGACATTGAACGAAGCTCGAACGCTGGCCAAGAATGTAATAGAAAGGAGATTTGTTCTGCATCTGTGAGTGATTCTAATTGACTCGAGATATAAAATGAGTTTGCGTTCTATGAGTAATGAATTTCTGATCGAGGCCCAGACTTTGACTTTTTGATGCACGGAGGGCCACTTGACACTAGGCATTTGGTAATAAAAGGGAAACTGTTGGATGCGATTGCCATTGTCATACACCCCGTATCATACCCAGATCAGCGCGGAGGCATGGAGCTGGACACTAGGCAAGACCGTACGTGATGACTGCCCATTTGCATGTGATTAGACGGAATGGCAAATGGAGATATTGGGGTGAGTGGAAGAATTTTCGTAGTCACCGTTTCCCACTTCCAAGAGCTACCCAGGGTCGATAAACATTCCTGCATAACGATGCTAAAACGATAGGAAAAGTACTGTAATTCAACGAACAAAGTCCCTGTAGAACCAACAAGGAGCGTACGATGGAGAGTGCTCTGAATGTGATGCCTTCTTCACGCCAATCTATCTTCATGTTAGGATTAGAGCCGACCTAGCACAATTAAGATCCAGGTTTTGCGAAACCGAAGCAAGATGGCGTTCGAACTAGCTACTGTGCCACAAAAAGCGAACAAACATCACGTGCCGAGTCAAGTGTGCAACGGACTACAGGTTTGTACACATATTTTCACGAAAACCCACGAAGGGGCCTTGTGTTTGTTTTGTGCAACAGTACATTGATCTTGTCGTCTTGCCCATACAACATGCAACACTTAAGGGAAACGCCTCCTACACAATCACACACGTTTCCATTATCATATGTATAGTAGTCTTTTGCTATTCGCATTTGCCTTGTCCGGTCGCCTTCACTTCGCCCATTCATCTTACTTTGCCAGTGTTGCGTGTTCTGACAATAAACGGTGCCCGAGTTGGAGTCTGTGGGAACTCATCTAGCTTGATCCAACTCATAAGCACAACATGAAGTAAGATTAGATAAGCAAACGAGTGAGATGGAGGACGAGAGAGAAAGAGCTCGCGTTAAAAATAGGAAGGAACCGGTTCGCCAGCCATGATATACTTTGTGACAAATAGTAGAACAGTGCATTTTTTGAACAAACAGTGAATTCAATAAAACAGTTAGTCCTGTATTTCATCGGCTTCGTTTTCAAAACGCGATACATGTCTAGACCACTAAGATTAATCAAAACTGGATGGTAGCATCTGAACGGGTTATGTGAGGATGAGGTGGAATACATGTTTGTCGGGAAGTGCGATGGTTGCATAATCACAAAAATGATACGAAGAGCACGTGTCGGCTTGCAGAACGTTAGGCCCAATTACGCCACAACCAGGCCGATGACTAAGAAGGACATGTGGAGAAGGTGGACTGAGCGCATCAACACACCGATTCCAAGTGGCAAGATCTATCGCAGAATGCGATGCACAGAATCGAGGGCCGCAATGAAGAGGATAGGTCAAGAATGGCAAATGCAAAACTTGTTTTTCTAGGGACCCCTACAACTGGTTGTGTAGCGCCCAAGTAGACAATGTAGTCTGATGAGTAGGCACCTTTCGGTACACCGTAGTCTAAAGAATGGATGATTAATAGATAAGGATTATGTCAAAGCAGTTGGATGGACCACGAAGGGGAAAGGGCGCGGTTCCGAGGTAGTTTATAATGAAATCGAAACACCTCAGTTTATTTCACCGAAGGAAGACTCGTGTGCCAAGGTGCAGTAGACCCAGCTGACTTGACCACGTTACCAAACACAATGTTAATGATAATAGTAATAATAAATTGAGATGAACGAGCAAAATATGAAACAGTCAGATGGAGTAGGCCAGGAAAAATGGAAGAATGCCACTTATTTCCAGATGGCAAATCCCGAGGAACTAGTCCAGGAAGATGATCAGCGTCAGTCCGACTCGGCTTTAGCTCCTTCATTCACGTTTGACATGTCATTCACTGGCCGCCTCGGTGTTTCAGCCAAGTAAGCACAGCATTCGCAGAAAATATAAGACAGTGCAGTCGGTTTCCCAGCGTGCGAAGGATATATCATAGTCAGTGGCCGCGGCTTGGATTCAAGGAGGTACGGGAGAGTCTATGGCCAAACGCCAGATGATGGACTTTAATAGTGCTCAGTCGGTTATCCCACCAGGAATGAGCAATACCTCGCAAGTATCAATGATGGAATATGACCAGTTTCCTGGTGGTCAGGCCTGCGGCCTGTGCAGTAACAATGATCTCGTGACAACGCCGCAAACTCTCTTCTTAATGAACAACTTCATATCGCGCGGTCCCAACAAGTAGCTGGCGCTTTGAAAGAATAATTCACACATGACCAGATCATTTTGAATCACATGTGCATGTCTGTGGAACGTCGAGAAGGATTTACATCAATTTGACAATGCGTTGTCATGCCTGAAGCGAGCGGTAACAAACCAGTGAACACCGGGTAATGCTCTTCCATCGTCGGAAGTAACGCGTGGCGATCGTGCTCTACGCCAATTGAGCTTAAAGCTTGTAACCAGAGGACAGTTGCCTCTCATGTCTAGGTTTTTAAAAAAGTGGGTCATCAACTTCTGCAGAGGATGCAAGGACTGAGTTTATCAAATCCTTGACCACTGTCCTGCAGGTGAAAGCTGCTCTGAAGACACTTTGGTACGGACAACCCAGTGTAGCTCAATGAATCACGGAGATACCCAAACCAACGCACGACGTTAAGATTCAAACTCCCCGCGATGGTATAGAAACAGAGTGTGAATGGCTACGATCAGATAGTAACGTGGCCGAATAAGGAATTTGACAATTGCTGTAAACTCTGAGGTAGTTTTGAATATAGCAACTCAAGTGTCTACCCAATACGGATAGCACATCATAGACATCGAACCAACGGGAAAACAACCATAGATAAGCAAAGACTGTGGTTTTCGGGGCCGTAATTCCTGACTGTAATGGCTGCTGGCCAATGACCTTCGAGTTGGTTTGATCCGAGCTCCAGCTCAAGCCAGCAGCATGGAATCAGGCTTCAATGGCGTCTAAGAGCACGCTTCCTCAGATATGAAGTTCAGTCCAGTTCAAATGATCAACGATGATCCCAGCAACAAGGTGAAGTGGATCTAGTTGTCACGACCACATTGCAGTATTAACAATAAATAACAGCGTCAAGATAGGGTCCAGTGCGCATACGCGAAGAAAACGGAAGCAAGAAGGAAGTGTATTAAATTAATCAGAATGAAACGAAGACTAACAACCAGATGCAAAAGCGCCACCGACTTCGTGACTGCGCCGTATCTGGTGACGTATCCAACCAATGGTGTGGACCATTCCGAGGATCCCATCCACGAAGAAAGCACGCACCTGCCTGACCGACTATCTCAGTCACTATCTCCATGCCTTTATCCTACCTTCATGGACTGTCCACCTCGAGGTTTCGCACAACTTGGTGCAGCGACGGCGTATAATGCACGCCGAGGCAGCCGGTCAACGAGCATACGGAGGACACGACCTAGCCAAAGTAGGCGATTATGATTCAGTAAACGCACGAGTGAGGGCCTCAGCATTGCTTACCTGGTGTTCCCGGCAGACGTGAACAATACTCTGCAGATATGAAGTTCACCATGCAAGATAGGAATAAACCCACACACAATCTTGCTACATTTTGTTCATGAGCGTAGTTGAGAATACGACTTTCAGAGTTAATAATTATATTCAAAAAATATCCGCGTTTCATTGACGTAACAAACACGCGGTGTATTACCCTTGAGCCTGGCTACCTGTTGTGGGTTCCCTGCTGAGTATACGGATAACGTCCCTGAATCAGTTGTGCCGCTCCCAACCAGTTCAGCCCCACAGGGAATGAGAACGCCAAGACCACCCAGACCGAGGGATTCTATAGTATTGCACAATAAATAGGTTGTAGAAAACCCCTAACACAACAAAATTAAAGATGCTAATTAATAAGTAATTAACACAAATCCAACGGTTCAAGTTCATGGTCCAATTTGCCGTTGGTTCCACATAGGTTCGCATTTTCATCCGTACTCTGGATCGATCTCTAATTATAGGTCAATTTACTGTTGCGCCACTGCTCTCAGCCTGTAAGCTATCTTCCTGTAACACCTCCATCGCGCAAATTAACGCATGATTTTCATCTCAGATTCAACTGCATTCTGATGACGGGTCTCCGTACCCGATCAGAGCAGCGTCTTTGTTGTATAATTGGCTCTTCTGGAACGGTCGTGCAACATGCTTCAAAAGCGTTCTTTGTACCGACTGGCATGTCGAAACCGTCCATCAGCAT